CCAGGGTTTAAGCAATTCTCCTGCCCCAGCCTCCCAAGTAGCTAGGATTACAAGCATGGACCACCATGCCCAGCTAATTTTGTATTTTTAGTAGAGACAGGGTTTCTTCATGTTGGTCAGGCTGGTCTCGTTCTGATCTCAGGTGATCCATCTGCCTCAGCCTCCCAAAGTGCTGGGATTACAGGTAAGAGCCTTATCTTAAATCTCATATGTTATCTTAACCTTCAGAAGCAAGTCATAACTATGTTTACTACCTTTTTTGCTGAATGCAAATCCATTCTTCTATTTTAATGGTAACTAATATTTAACTTTTCCAGCTTAATCAACAACAGCTTAAAAACAGCTGATACTATGCCTTTTTTTTTTTTTTTTTTTTTTTTTTTGAGACAGAGCATTGCTCTGCCCCACGCTGGAGTGTAGTAATGCGATCTCAACTCACTGCAACCTCTGCCTCCCAGGTTCAAACTATTCTCCTGCCTCAGCCTCCCAAGTAGCTGGGATTACAGATGCCCCCATCATGTTCAGCTAATTTTTCCATATTTAGTAAAGATGAGGTTTTACCATATTGGCCAGGCTGGTCTCAAAGTCCTTACGTCAGGTCATCTGCCCACCTCGGCCTCCCAAAGTGCTGGGATCACAGGCGTAAGCCACTGTGCCCAGCCTACTATGCCATTTCTAATAGAAAATAATTTTTAAGGCCGGGCACGGTGGCTCAAGCCTGTAATCCCAGCACTTTGGGAGGCCGAGGCGGGTGGATCACGAGGTCAAGAGATCGAGACCATCCTGGTCAACATGGTGAAACCCCGTCTCTACTAAAATTACAAAAAATTAGCTGGGCATGGTGGTATGTGCCTGTAATCCCAGCTACTCAGGAGGCTGAGGCAGGAGAATTGCCTGAACCCAGGAGGCGGAGGTTGCGGTGAGCCGAGATCGCGCCATTGCACTCCAGCCTGGGTAACAAGAGCGAGACTCCGTCTCAAAAAAAAAAAAAAAAAAAAAAAAAAAAAAAAGAAAATAATTTTTATAATTATGAGTACTTACGCTGGGTAAACCTTACTTATGAGCATGATAAGCAACTGTTACAGATGTGATTACAAGGCTCACCATCTAGATTTTCCCTTAGAAAGACAGATTAGGTGTTTGTCTATTCTTCCTGCTAATTACAGTTTAAAGATCTGGACCTTCTATATGTAAAAAATAAATAATTAAATTTTGAAATGAAGGGATAGCTGCCAAGGATACCAAGTTCCTCAGAATCTGAGGGACAACATGGCAGTGAGTTCACTAATCTTCTTTCTGCCTATAGCCCAGCCTACGTACTGGAGAAGTCTGCAACCTGGAAATGCCAATACAAGCAGAAGGAAAATAAAATAAAACAAGAAAAGCCCGCCAGTGTTAGCCCTAGCCAAATGACCAGGAAAACAGGCAGTCTGGCAAGACAGAGAGCTCTTAGACATAACCACTCTACTACAGTCAAACACCAAACGGGGAATAAAAAACAAAAAACTGTAACACCATTCCTACCCATGGTAGCAATGACCAAGTAGGGAACCTAGATTTCCATCCTGACCAAGCTGCAATAAGGCACCTCAATCAGCACCACAGATGCCATGTTTGCCCCCAACCACCACCCACCAGAAGCATGGTTGCCAGAAAAGGCCAAGTGTATACAGCCCAGACTTTCCTCCACACCAGGTGAAAACAAATCTTCTCCCTGCTGTCAATGTAGGCCATATGGAAAGCACTAATAAAGCACATCTGCCTCTCCAGTCAAGGTGGGTATCAGTGGAAACCTAGTGGGGATACCCTCTCCATTACTGTCAACAGAGGCCAAGTGAGGCACTGGACTTTGAGGCAACTCATTTTACTTTTTTTCAGCATAGATTCTCTCTTTAGGAAAATAAAGTTTACATTTAGATCCAAGGTCCTCAACCAATATTAATTGTTCTAGATATTTTTAGCACTAATACTTCTACCAGGACCTGAACACAAATCTTCAGCTTTTAATAATGAGGCCCCCGAGGTGTCTGCTTTATCTCCTGTCTCAGTAACTGAAACAACTTTCCATAGTCAATTTAGCCCCTTATCTACAATGAACTACTTTTTTCCCATTCCAAAGGACACAACAAAAAAAGATCATTTCCACGGACCATTTTTCTAAATATAAGACTTTAGTTCCACAGAAAAGACCTAACAAAATTAGTTTTGCCATTAGAACTTATACTCAAATCCTAATACACTAAAATCTTTTTACTATCTAGTTTAAGCAAATAGGCTAATCAAGCTAACTACTGGTTCCACATTTTGTCATTTTAATTATTTTCCTCTTCATTTTTCTGCTTCCTTGAAAGCTACTAATTTCTTTTAAAAGGGCAATTAGAAAAGTTCTGCCTTTTTTCCTGTTTTGTTGTTAATACTTGATTTAACAGTACCTGCCATATTACAGGCATCAAAAAATCCTGATGACTAATTTAATAATTTAGGTGATTTTCTTCTCCAATTTCTCCTCTCAGATATAAATGGGCAGTTCTTGAGAAAGAAAATAACAGGATGAAATAATAAATTCCACTACATATCTACAGGCAAGGAGTATACACACAAAATCTAATTGCTACCAACAATCCTAATAGGTGAGATTCCCTGCTTTGACACAGAAAGAAGCCTCAGGCTCTAGAGTGAAGCAACTTCAGAAAGAACACACAATAGGTACTTGTGTGGATATAGTTGCAGGGGCATGGTGGTCAGAAGAAGTCAAACAGAGGTCTACACATCCTGATTCTAAAGGCGGTATTCCTGTCACAGTGCCAAGCTAACTTCTTCCTGAAGTAGCTCTAGTATAGTAGTTGGAAACCCAAACCATCACATGCAGCCTACCTTTCCTAATTTCAGGGATCCTTCTCAGAGGGAATTCATTCCTTATTTATTCTGCATTCCTCAGTGTTCTATAGGCAAAACTTCTCAGAAATGTTATTCTAGACCACCCAACTTAAAGTACCAATGTCATTTTCCCCCTCCCCATCATTTTTTGTTCAAAGCACTTATGGCTATCAAAAATTAACTTTATCCTATTTGTTTATTCTTTTACATATTTGTCTGCCCCCTCCCATTAGAATATAAACTCATTAAAAAAGAGTGAACTTATCTGTGTTATTCACAGTTGCGTCCCTGTCACCTACAAAAAGTCCTAGTACAAGGAATCTCAGTAAATATTTGAACAAGTAAATGAGTGGCAAATAGATAAGAATAAAACAATTGAATTGGAACACCAAGAGGCAGAGTATAGGGAGGGATATGCCACAGTTCTACGTTTCTTACTGAAAAATAGCACCACAGAGGGTACCTGAGGAATTCAGACTCTTATCAAGAATACTGAAGAGATCCACTATCTAAATAAAACTGAAAAGCCTGTCACAACTGTTGCAAAAAGGGACCTGTGGTTGATTTTTTAAAAGGTGTACATCAACTAGAACATCATACACTGGTGATGAAAATGTGAAATGTGACAATCACTTCAGAATACAGTTTTGCAGTTTATTATATATCCCAGCAATCCCACTTCCAAGTATTACTCCAAAGAAATGAAAATGTATGTTCACACAAAGAGGTATATATCAATGTTTATGACAGTTTTACCCATGATATCCAGAAACTGGAAACAATCTAAATGTCCATCTACAGGTTAAAAACAGGATAAACACTGTGGTATACATAAAATGGAATGCTTCTTAGCAATAAAAAGAAACTAGTGCTACATTCCACATGGCTGAATCTCTAAAACATCATACAGAGCAGAGGAAAGCAGACACAGAAAAAGACAATCATCATTAATTATATTAAATTCTTGTAAAGGCAGAACAAATCTAGAGTGACAAAAATCGTATCAGTGGTTGCCACTAGCTTACAAGGCACAAATGCAATAGAACACAAACTTTTGCAGATAATGAATGTTCTAGTATCTTAATATTATGCTAGCTGCATAGGTATATACCTTTGTCAAAACTGACAGAACAAGACACTTAAAAATAGGTGTATTTTATTCTGTAAATCATAACTCAATATTCTGATTTTTAAAATTCAAATCTGATCATTTCACTGTTCTCTTCGAAGTCTCCCATTTTCCTAAGTATAAAGAGAGGGAAATCTCTGTAAAAACCCCAGTACATATACACACATAAACACACTTTAGGACACACATTCAACAACACTCCCCCAACAACACCTGACAAAAAAGTTTTACAAAACAATATTTAACCATCTACCTAGAGGATTAAACTGACATTTTCTTTTCAACTTCATTCCAACCTATCTTATTTATGTAAAATGCTGAACACAACTCATTAAATTTAGTAAGCAGTTAACTCTGGACCAGGCACTATCTACTAGATTAAATGCTTAATGCATCACCTCATTGGATACTCATGACACTATAAGATAAATACTATTAATATCCTTTTTTTCAGCAGATAGAGGTGATAGTAAAAATCTCATAAATACTAAATAACTTACCAGAGAGACAAAAGTCTGCCAGGCTCCAAAGTCTAAACATCTAAACCATATACCAGAATGTCTATATCCATCAAAAGAAAGATATAAAGATAATAAAGAACTATCATGAAGACTTGACAACTGTTATTAGTCTGTCCCCGTGTTGCTATAAAGAAGTATCTGAGGCTGGGTAATTTATTTAAAAAGAGGTTTAGGGCCAGGCACAGTGGCTCATGGCTGCAATCCCAGCATTCTGGGAGGTCAAGGTAGGCATCAACTGAGCCCAGAAATTCAAGGCCAGTCTGAGTAACATGGCAAACTCCATCTCCACGAAAAGTAGAAAAAACATTAGCTATACACCTGTAGTTGCAGCTACTTGGCAGACTGAAGTGAGAGGATCACTTTAGCCCGAAAGCTAGAGGCTGCAGTGATTCACGATAGCACCACTGCACTCCAGCCTGGGTGACAGTGGGAGAACCTGCCTCAAAAAAAAAAAAGACATTTAATTGGCTCACAGTTCTGCAAGCTATATAAGCATGGCTCCAGCATCTCTTCCTGATGAGGGCCTCAGGAAGCTTCTTACCACAGCAGAAGAAGAAAGGGGAGCAGGCACATCACATAGTGAGAGCAGGAACAGGAGAAAGAAGAGGGAGGTTCTAAATTCTTTTAAATAACCAGATCCCAAGTAAACTGGCTGAGAATTCATTTATTACCAAGGGCATGGTGCTAAATCATTCATGACGGATCCACCCCCATGATTCAATCACCTCCCACCAGGTCCCACCTCCCACATTAGGAATCATATTTCAACATGAGATTTGGAGGGGACAACTATCAGCAACTAACTCATACTGGCAGATATCAAAAACAACAAAACTGATATACACTGAAGTGCTGCACTAAATATAAAACCATATGCTACAATCTAACTTTAATAAAGAATAACAGTTAATTGTCTATGACTTTCCCATTTATATCTCAATTACTCTGAAACTAAAAATCTCAGCCTCCACTGTCCTTTCTGTTTTCTAACTTTTCATAGGCAAACTAAAACATCATTTCTCACTCACACTGAAAAAAAAATGGGAAGTATATAAATGGGAAAATTTTTTTTTATCTGGTGTCATCTCTATATATAATACTTTCTGTTTCAGTATTACTGCCCAATTCTAACCAATTCAGGATCTTCTCTCAACCCAAGTAAACAAGGCATCCACTACACACGATGAAAAGAACGTCGTGAATACCACTCAACACATATACTTGGTGTGATAGGCATTAGTAATGCTCACTAGTGTTTCTAGTTCTACTTTCCTTTTGCATATATAGCAAGATCATATTTTTCTGACCCTTTGATGGTACACATGACCACATCATTGCTATGGCCAATGAAATGCAATCAAAAGTAATATGTATCACTTCCCCAGGGAAGCATTTACAACTGGAACATAATTTTCTATGCTCTGTTGCTCTGTCCTCAAAAACTACAAAAGCATAAATTGATAAGGACTTGCCACAAGACTAAAGCAGCCTAGAAGGTGTGCTACCACATGAAAAGCAGCACAGGGACTTGGCTAGCTGGACCAAACAAACTTTGCATGAAAGGATGTAGTCTTTTCTTGTGCTATGACGCCACTGAGATTTTGATGTTGGTACCACAATGTAAGCTATCCTGACTTACACAGTGAACTTCCTAATTTCCTTAAATTGTTTAATAAAATCTTGGTTTTCGGCAAAATTTCTAGAGATGGGGACAGAACACAATACCTAAACCATATACTAGAAACAACTATGTATTTCAAGCCCAGCTTCATTTTCTAATTACCTTTATTTTTTACTTTTTTTCCACATATTTGCATTCCATCTTTAGTCTTTGAAATTCTCTTATGTCAAATGTCTTTCTTCTGAAATTTCTTGAGTTTAGTTTTAAAGAAAGAACTGTAGTTGCATAAAATTGCAATTTGAGAAACAGCGATTGTTTTTTCCTTTTCCAGGGTCAAGTCTAAAAGTGACCAAAAGTACTTTTAATTTTATAATTCGAAGATCTTTCAACTATGTTGACGCTATTGGGAAATTTCAATGACTAGGATTCATATCACTTTGCCCTTACAGACTCAAAAGCACAGGATGTTACAGAATGATCACATTTCTCTAATAACTAGCACATACCATGGATGCATTTATCATCTAAAAAGAGCGCTGACATTGGCCTGTCACAGAGCTAACTACTATCAAGTCTTTAGTCCATATTACCAGCAAGACTTTGGGTAAGAATGATACATTCCCCATAGCTAACTTTCACAGATGTGAGAATAAAGTGAGATAATATATGTGAACATGCAAAGTATTCACACAGATATAAAGTGGTATTAGCCTATTATCTATCCCTTCATTTCCACTTTCAATGTAGCACTCTGATCTCTATTATACTTTATAGCCCTGGCTCTCTCCTCTGGAAAAGCTTTCCTTCTTATTGAGATTAATTTATTAAACAGTGTTAAACATCTTTAAACATCTTTAAAAATCTTCAAAATATACTGTAACCCCTACTTTAACTCATGCTTTTAGTATTAAATCCCATTACTCCACCATAAGAAAACTTTCATTTGGCCCAAGTAATCTGTCTAATTATTTTTTACCATAAATTATATAATACCTTTGCCAGACCTACAATGCACTCAGTACTCCTCTAATCTTCTACCTTAAGTACCAGTTAAGTGTTACTTTTTTTTTTTTTTTTAATTTGTCTCACTCTGTTACCCAGGCTGGAGTGCAATGGCAGGATCTTGGCTCACTGCAACCTCCGCCTCCCGGGTTCAAGCGATTCTCCTACCTCAGCCTCTTAAGTAGATGGAATTACAAGTGTGTGCCATCACACCTAACTAATTTTCGTATTTTAGTAGAGACTGGGTTTCACCATGTTGACCAGGCTTGTCTCGAACTCCTGACCTCAGGTGATCCACCCACCTCAGCCTCCCAAAGTGCTGGGATTACAGGTGTGAGCCACCCACTGCGCCTGGCCTAGTGTTACTTTTAATTCCCTTTCTGAAATATATTTTTTCAAAGACTCTGCAGCACCTATCATCTTTATCACATTTGCCATTCAGTCATAAAAGGCATTACATTTTATCCTGTTTTTCTAGTTATTTCCCCCAATAAAATAAATTGTGGGAAAGATTCTTCTCACCACACCCCAAAATACGTCATAGTCAACTGCTAAGCATTTGTTTAATGGAATGTGTTTATTTTGTTTTATCTCAATTACGAAATAGCAACTCTGAAGGCAAAGTGCCAAATACGAACCAGCTAAGACACTGATACTGAATCAAAGATACATCCACATATAAATCTTTATTCTCTACTTTAGTCTAAAACATTGAAGTTAAGAATGTAGTAATATCTGCTAAGTTAGTCTAGTTTCTCTTCAAATTTAGCTTACTTCTTAAACCTAACAAATTAATGAGGTATAGTTTATGATCTGTAGCTACAAAATAAAAATGACTTTAAAAAAATAAATCGATGAGGTAGACTAGTCACTATTTTTCCAAATGAAAAACATTTAATCATACTAAACACAAATTTCTATCTAGAAATATCACTTGGAATTTTTGTTTCAATTTATCCTTTCTCCCCTGTGTATTTATTCAATCATTTATTTATATCAGTATGGACTCATGTATACTTACGCTCTATTTTACAGAATAATCAAACACTAGATTATTTTTTTAAAACTTTTTTTTTTTTTTGACTCAGAGTTTCATTCTTGTTGCCCAGGCTGGAATGCAATGGCGCATTCTTGGCTCACTGTAACCTCCACCTGCTGGGTTCAAGCAATTCTCCTGCCTCAGCCTCCTAAGTAGCTGGGACTACAGGTATGCGCCACCATACCCGGCTAATTTTTTGTATTTTTAGTAGAGACGGGGTTTCACCATGTTGGCCAGGATGGTCTCGATCTCTTGACCTCATGATCCACTGGCCTCGGCCTCCCAAAGTGCTGAGATTACAGGCCTGAGCCACTGCACCTGGTATACCTCAAACTGTACCCTCCTAAGACAGCAAATTTAATCAATATTGTGTGTCTTCTAACTGTTCCACCAACTGGTCATTTCCTATCCTTTCCTTCTCCTCAGAGCTCCCTATTCCCTGAGACGAAATGGTATTAAAATTTGACTAATAACCCTACAACAGCCTCTAGTAGTCAAGTGAAAGAAGAATCACACATCTCTTGACTTAAATCAAAAGCTAGAAATGACTAACTTAGTGAGGAAGTAATGTTGAAAGCTGAGATAAGCCAAAAGCTAGGCTTTTGCACCAAACAGCCAAGCTGTAAATACAAAGACTAAGTTCTTGAAGGAAATATAAAAGTGCTACTCCAGTGAACACACGAATGATAAGAAAGTATAACAGTCTTATTGCTGATACGAAGAAAGTTTGAGGCCAGGCATGGTGGCTCACACCTGTAATCCTTGCACTTTGAGAGGCCAAGACAAGAGGATCACCTGAGGTCAAGAGTTCAAGACCAGCCTAGCAAACACGGTAAACCCCGTCACTACTACAAATATAAAATTTAGCCGGGCGTGGTGGCAGGCACCTGTAATCCCAGCTACTCAGGAGGCTGGGGAGGAGACTAACTTTAACCCAGGTGGCAGAGGTTGCAATGAACTAAGATAGTGGCACTGCACTCCACTCTGGGTGACAAAGCACGACTCCATCTCAAAAAAAAAAAAAAAAAAGGGGGGGGGGGAGTTTGAGTCATTAGAAGATCAAACCAGCCACAACTTCTCCTTAAGCTAAAGCCTAATCTAGAACAAGATCCTAAGACTCTTCAACTCTATGAATACAGAGGTCAAAAAGTTACAGAAGAAAAGTTTGAAGCTAGCAGAGTGGTTCATGAGGTTCAAGGAAAGAAGCCATTTCTATAACATAAAAGTGCAAGATGAAACAGCCAGTGCTGACAGAGAAGCTGCAGCAAGTTAACCAGAAGATCTAACTAAGATCACTGATGAAGGTGGCTACATGAAACAGATTTTCAATGGAGATGAAACCTTCTATTGGAAAAAGGTGCCACCTAGGACTTTCATAATTAGAAAGAAGTCAAATCCTAGCTTCAAATCTTCAAAGGACAGGCTGACTCTCTTGCTAGGGGCTAATGCAGCTGGTACTTTAAGTGGAAGTCAATTCTTACTCACCATTCTGAGAATCCTAGGATCCTTAAGAATAATGCTAAATCTATTCTTCCTATGCTCTATAAATGGAAAAACAAAGCCTAGATGACAGCACATCTATTTACAGTATGGTTTATTGAGTACTTTAAGCCCACTGTTGAGACCTACTGCAGAAAGAAAGATTCTTTTCAAAATACTAATGCATATTGATGATGCATCTGATCACCCAAGAGCTCTGTTGGAAATATACAAGGAGATGAATGCTGTTTTCATGCCTGCTAACATAATATTATTTTGCAGCTCATTGATCAAGGAGTATTTCAACTTTTATGTATTCCTATTTTAGAAGGCTATTGTTGCCACAAATAGTGAGTCTTCTGCTCAATCTGGGCAAAGTAAATTGAAACCCTTCTGGAAAGATTTCTAGAGTCACCATTCTAGACGCCAACAAGAACATCTGTGATTCATGAGAGGAGGTCAAAATATCAACATTAATGGGAGTTTGGAAGAAACTGATCACAACCCTAAAGGATGACTTTGAAGGGTTCAAGCCTAAGTGGAGGAAGTAACTGAAGATGTGGTGAAAATAGAGAACTAGAATTAGAAGCGGAGCATGAAGATGTGGCTGAATTACTGCAACATTATGACAAAATTTGAACAGATGAGGAGTTGCTTCTTATGGATGAGGAAAGAAAGTGGCTTCTTGAGACGGAATCTACTCCTGGTGAAGATGATATGAATATTGTTGAAACAACAACAAAAAATTCAAAATATTACATAAACTTCATTGACAAACCAGAAAGAGGGTTTCAAAGAACTGGCTACAATTTGAAAGAAGATCTACTGCAATTAAAATGCCATCAAACAGCATCACATGCTACAGGGAAATATTTCATTAAATGGGCAAACTGATGTGGCAAACTTCATTGTTGTCTTATCTTAAGAAACTGCTACAGCCACCCCAGCCTTCAGCAACCACTAAGTCGACAGTCATGAACATTGAGGCAAGAACCTCCACGAGCAAAAAGATGGTGACTCACTGAAGGCTCAGATGATTGTAAGCAATTTTTAGCAATATTTTAAAATTAATGTATCCACATTGCTTTTTTTATATAATGCTATTGCATTCTTAATACAACATAGTATAAACATAACTTTTACATCACTGAGAAATCAAAACATTCACATGACTCACTTTATTGAGATATCTAGTCTATTGTGACATTTGCTCTACTGTGGTGGTCTGGAATTTAACCTGCAAAATCTCCAAGGTACCCCTATAACAGAATAAAATACAGTCGGCCCTCCATATCCGCAGGCTCCACAACTGTGGACTGGTCAACTGAGATACTGCATAACAACTATTTACTGTATTAGGTATTATAAGTAACCTGGAGACTATTTAAAGTACATGGGACAATGTGCATAGGTTATATGAAAATACTATGTCATTTTATATAACAAGATCTGAGCACCTGCAGATTTTGGTATCCACAGCTGTTCCAGGATACTGAGAGACTATGAACTGTATGTATTCACACTTGGAGGTGAAACTACAACTAAAATAAACACAAGTTTATTCAGGAAATAAATATTAACTATACATCCATTCTGTGCAGGGGGTATTCTGCTAAACAATTACTGTCCAAGAGCTGGAAAACCAAATGAGACACACACTCTAACCTTCCTAGAAGAACTCATAATCTAATGAGGCCAGGGAATGAGGCTCAATGTAAGAAAACTAACACATAGAAAACAAGAAAATTATAAGTGATATGTAAATACACAAATATTTTTTACTTTTTTTTTCCTTATCTAAACTGCTGAGAACTTTATAAGTTTGAAACTGATAAAAGAATCCTAAAGATTGTTTTCTGGCATAAGTCACTAGAATATTTACTAAAAAAGGAATGTTTGGTAGTAGCTGAAGAAGACAGTTTGGCAGATAACTGCTACAATGCTGAACACGAAAAGTAAGATCAAATACATTTTGTTGTTGGAAAAGCAACAAAATACAATGAGAAGACCAGTGAGGCTACTGTCCCAGGCTTCAGTTCAAAGTTGGTCTTCTTAGCTAACCACCAGTGGACAAAATCACTCGTTCTCTTAATCAAAATGTCAAGATATTTAAAATGGGGCTATTATCTGTTGTAACTATTTCACAAGAATACTGTAAGCTCAAATGAGAATATATACAGCAAGCCTGTTTCATAAATTACTACGTGCCACCCAAATGAAAACTATTATTTATTTTAAAACAATCGGTAATCAGGAAGATACACACAAACATATGCAAGCATATATACACAAATATATACATAGAGCATTACTCTCCAGCAGAACACAGAACAATGATATCCATTAGAGAGGTACCTGGACTCTATTTTCTTGAAATGTTATGGAGAAAACATTTATCTAAAACATTTTAATTTTAAAAGAATATCTATTTCTTAACATTTAAAGATTAAATTCTATGAAGCAACAGCCAGAAATTTAACTGAAAATACTTACCTTAACAAAATTATCAGGGAACATTCCTCTTCTCCCATTTAGTTCTCCTTCTAGCCATCCTTCCTCCTGTAGCTTTTTCACATTCCTGATGACTTCTCCAACTCGAATAGTTAATTCATCATCATGTACAGCATCATAGTCATACTCCACAATATAGTCAACTAATAAAGGAAGAAAAATGAAATGGCTAAAATCTAATTCACAAAATACTATATATTAACTTTAAGAGATTTGTTTAGCAACAATATTTAATACTACAAAGACATCTGCACGGCTTATTTCAATTACTTTAAATATTTGGCTACATCAGCAAATTTCTTGAATACTTTGGTATAGCGTACAATACAACTATTAAGTGGGAGCCTCAAAAGAAAAATAATGCATAATTCATGCCATCAGACACTCTTACAATCACATGCATACTCTATGTAGCAGACAGACTCTGAGGTGGTCTCCATGATCCCCACTTCCCAGCATACATGTCCTTATATAATTCCCTCTTTGAGTGCCAATGTGACCTGTGATTGACTTCTAACCAAAAGAATGTGACAGCAGGGCGTAATGTCTCATGCCTATAATCCTAGCACTTTGGGACACCAAGGCTGACTGATCGCTTAAACTCAGGAGCTCAAGACCAGCCTGGGCAACATGGCAAAACCACGTCTCTACAAAAATACAAAAACTCTAGCCAGACGTGGTAGTGTGCACCTACAGTCCCAGCCACTTGGGAGGCTAAGGTGAGGACATTTTTTGACCCAGAAGGTTGAGGCATCAGTGATCCAAGACTGTACCACTGTACTCCAGCCTAGGCAAGACTCAAAAAAAAAAAAAAAAAAAAAAAAAAAAAAGAAGAAGAAGAAGATGACAAAGACGATGAGTTGTACATTATTATGTAAGACTGTAATGTCCACCTTAATAGGAGACTTTTTCCCTTGCTGGCTTTGAAGACACAAGCTGCTATGCTGTAAGCTAACCTAAGGAGAGGGCCACAAACAAGCAACTTAAGGGTCTCTGACTGACATGAGAAAACTGAGGCCTAACTTCAACAACCCAAAAGTAAATGAATGGTAAGAACAAACACATGAGCTTGGAAGCAGATCCTTCCCCAGTAGAGCCCCAAATGTGAACCCAACCCTGGCCAACATCTTCACTGCATCCTTGCAAAGGACCCAGTTGGCCATGCCCAGATTCTTAAACCACAGAAACTATTAGATAATAAATATATATAGTTCTAAACTACTAAGTTTGTTACTACTTTATGTAAAAACAGAAAACAAACTCTAAAATGAAGATTAATATGTATTTATTTTACCTCTTTTAATAAGAGGATCTTAGATTACAGGATCACATATGCATATTATTAATATTTTACAAGGTTCAATTTTTAAAAAACAGTAATAGCTTTCCTGCTCAAGATAGCAGACTAGCCATATCCCCATTCATCTTTTCTTCCTCCTACAAGACTGATTAAAACACACACACACACACACACCCCAACCACACCAACAATCACAACCACCACCAAAAAAAAAAAAAAAAAAAAGTGTATGGCCACACTCTGTTGTTTTTTAAACCAAGAGCCATTCGCACACTGCCCATTCCCCTCCTTCCTTTCTAATAGAACCTTAATTTTGTTCAGTATTTTGAGACCCTGTATTTTACAGGCAAAGATTCTCTCGGCCCCAGGGAGTTACATCTTCACTAGTCTAAATCTGTACTTCTCAGATACTTATTACAATCAGGTCATCTGAAAAATCTTGTGTTTAAATGCCAACTCTGGTTGAGTAGGTGCCAGGATATCTAACTGTCAAAGAGGCAAAGGTCTAGAGATAGCCTATTTATAGCAATCTTAATCACATACAATTAAACATACACAGTGAATGGTTTTCAAATAAGTATGGGATGAATGAATTCTTTTTACTTTTTATTTTGTAATAGAGACGGGATCTCGCTATATTGCTCAGTCAGCTCTCAAACTCCTGGGCTCAAGTGATCCTCCCACCTGGACCTCCCAAAGTGCTAGGATTACAGGTGTGAGCCACCATGCTCAGCCTGAGGTGAATGAATTCTAACTTTCTTCTGGGAAGGTTTTGTTTGACCTTAAAAACAAAACACAAGGAAGAAATGGCCTCCTGCAGACTCTGAGTGTTCTTTAATGAGAATTTGATATCCATAATTGCTCTAACCACTTGAGAAAAATAGTAGATAACCGATTAACATGGAAAAGAAAAAAGATAAAAATAACCTGGATCTTTGCAGGATTGATCAAACTGCTAGATTAACCAAGCTATAACTATAATTCCTTCAGATTTGTTACATGAAGTAGTTTCTTAACTTTTAAATAAATTTTAGAGTTGATTTCTATTTGCAGCTGAAAACATCCCAACATAAGGGACCCAGCAGGAAATTTTAACGAATGTCTAATAGTGGATGCACAGCTGATAAAGCCAAGAGGAAGCCTAGAGAACTTGGAGCTATCAGTGAGATACCAAACTGCTCTATAGACCCCCAAAACACCAGAAATTCAGAAAATGTAGACTCACATGAAATGCATGTAGGGCTGAAATAGAGAAATTACTCAATCTCTAAATCAACCACAATAATTCAATCAGTAATATGCTAAGTAGCATGGCATTTTCCTTCCAAGGCAAAAAACCGAAGGGTTAATCTACAAAAAAATTAAAAAATAGCTTGCGGAAATTAGTACAGCTATTATGGATTAATGCTGGTTTCTCAGAGCAATGAATACTGAGAAATGCAGAGGACTCCCAAAGCAATGGGCAGTTCTTGACCTGATAATGGAGGAAAAAAAAAACCTCAACTCCTGTCAGGCATGGTGGCTCATGCCTATAATCCCAGCACTTTGGGAGGCTGAGGCAGGCAGATCATGAGGTCAGGAGATCGAGACCAGCACGGCCAATATGGTGAAACCTTGTCTCTTTTGTATTATTGTAAAAGTACAAAAAACTAGCCGAGCATGGTGGCGCATGCTAGTCTCAGATACTCAGGAGGCTGAGGCGGAAGAATCACTTGAAGCTAGGAGGCGGAGTTTGCAGTGAGCCCAGATCACGCCACTGTACTCCAGCCTAGGTGACAGAGTGAGACTCCATCTCAAAGAAAAAACCACCTCTTAACTCTTACCCATATAAACAGAGTTCCCAATTCGCTTTTTATTCATTTATTATTTACTCTCAAAATGAGCAGACAATAACTGAAAAACTACTCAGAGGAAGTTACAGGGTGGGGAGTAACAAAAGAGATGAGAGAATGGTTACATGGAGGGAGGCTAATCGAATTGTAAATATATGAGGGGTAATGGGAGTCAAGTTTCTCTATGTCAGAGAAAGGAGTTGCAAACGTATATGAAAAAAGCTACTTTCAATCCTGTGATATTGAACTGTAATGAGCGGTATCAGCATGAAGTTAACAGTTTTCAATACATAGACATGGAGAAATAAATAGATATAAATATACGTATATGTAGATACACATATATTCATCACACACAGACACACACACACACACACATACACACCTAAGCTCTGTACAATGAATGGACCTGAAACCAGCAACATTCCAATGGCAATGAGCAAACCAAATGCCAAGACTTCATAAATACCACCTACTACTAAAAGGAAACAGGAAACTTTAGGAAAATGGCCAATTCCAGGGCTAGACAGGAAAAGTATAAGATTAGCCTGGAACATTTTGTTGTGCCAGAAAATAAGGAAGTTGTCAAATAAATGAAGTAGTATCAAACTGGTCCAGAGAAGTGATATCAAAAGGGCTCTACTGGCCAATTCAGGACATTTTGAGCATCAAAATAATGAAATTAAAAGAATATACCCCACTGAATAAAATAAGCCATGAGTCCATACAGATTATAAATCAATATTAATTTATTAAATGTTATAGTTGTATTGTGATATGGTCCTGGTTTATAGAAAATACACTCTAAAATACTTGGATAAAAGGTATCAGGAAAAAGTTATTTGTACTGTACATCTAACATTTCTACAATTTAGTGATTATTTCAAAATATAAAAGTTAAAATACATGCACAAATGTGTATCCTCAAGACATGTAAAGTTTCTAAACTAAAAGAACGCTATAAAATAAGAAGTGAGAATATTAAAATGTTTTTAAAGTTTATGTCTTCCAAAATATTTTACTGTTTTTTTTTTTGACGAGGTGGAGACAAATCCAAGAAAATGTTACAAAACAGTTAAAACAAAAGCACACAAAAAAAATATGAAAATAAGAAAAAGACACAATCAATCCAACATCCAATTAACAGAAATGAAATGAGGAGGAAAAAAAAATGAAATTAACAATGAAATAATATAAGAAAATAATCCTAAAACAATCTTCAAAAAGAAACAGGTCTGTGAGAATCCAATGAAATAATAAATTTTTTTAAATGTTCATATTGGGTGAAATTTCACAATAACAATAAACAGATCCTAGAAAGCTTACAGGAAATAGAAATTTCATCAACAAAAGATTGAGAATCATTTTGGAACACTTCTCATTGGCAATACTGGATTCTACAAGAAGAAAAATTAAAAATCACTGAAGTATTAAAAGAAAATTAATTGCATACTCTGCCAAATCAGCACGCAAGCATAGGTTACATTTTCACACATGCAACAATAAAGAAAATTAACTCCCACATATGAAATTACATAATGTTATACAGCAAAATTAAAATATGAATCAAAACAGAGGAAGATATGAAATCCAAAAAACAGTGGTGCCAACCTCAGAATAAAATAAGTGCCAAATTTGCAACTGTGCAACAAATCTAAGGAACAAACAGTATAGACTAAATGGAGAGAAAAAGTTCTAGGAGGTATGGCAAAACAGCATGGGGTACAAACTATGAAACTGTATACTATCCTTACAAATCTGGAACTCAGAGACAAGAAAGTCAGTTAAGGACAAAAAAACTAAAGATGATTAGAAACGCTTAGAAAGGCAAAGAACTGTACAATGCTGAAAATATAATTGGCTGGGTGCAGTTGCAGCTCACATCTGTAATCCCAACACTTTGGGAGGTTGAGGTCGGTGGCTCTCTTGATCCCAGGAGAGTTCAAGACCAGCCTGGGCAACATGGCAACCTCCATCTCTACAAAAAAATACCGGAAAAAAAAAAAAGTAG